ATAGCCAGAATATACATATGGGACTTCACTGAACATCATCAAAATTCATATTCGACCATCCTCATAAGCCCCCAGGTGTTTATGTCGAACATTATTACCAAAAATAAAATCATACAATCGTTCATCATGTCATGTCATTTATCATTTGTCTCATAGCTATAGCAACCTAAAAATTTATCCCGATGTGTATTGGGCAATTTGATTCACATTCCCTCGTATGTGATTTGACGATAACAAAGGGAATTGTGAAGTGACTTGGTATTCATGCCACGCCTACAATAAATTGCAATAATTTATTACTGGCCAATGTCCATCGTGAAGGTTTTGGACTTTTTATTGATAATAAACTCAAGCTTATTTGTACTTCAAAGTACATTTTGGAGCACATGTACTTGTGTAGCCAACTAACTTTATGTCATAATTGTTCATTTTTCATTTAAGTGAAACCTTTGATACATTATCACAGGAATGTCCTCGTGATATCTAGGTGACCCAATTATTTCGAAAGGTATTGGTCAACTGATTTATGATGGGAAATCGTCAAAGCTTTTGAATGAGAAATGAACTGACAATGCAGAAGGTGGTGCAGTTTTGCCTAAAACATTGAGAGAAACGCCACAAATTGTGCGGAAGTCGTTCAGCCAAACCATCATGCAAAATAAGAAGATGTAATTTACTCACATGTCAAACTCATTTTATGTCTGACATCGATTGTATCCAAAAAATATTTCCATTGCACTACATTAGACAGCTTTGAATACCGCCGGTTTTATATAATTGAATAATTTGATAGCTGGCGTGCCGCTTACAAGATTTCAAGATTTCAAAATCCATTCACAAATCTTTAACCGGTTTTTCTCATAGCACTGCAACATTACAACTCGAAAACAAACCAAGAATAAAGGACTATCTGTATTCATAAAAAGATGTATTGACAATATGCGTGTTGAATTCTTTAATGCACGTTCACATCATTTTGTCAGCCTAAAGGGAACGTTGATCGTTCATCTGAGCTATTTTTTAACAGCTATTGAATTGAGCTGACGAGTGAAGTGCTAATAAAAATACGTGAGCTGATTTTTAAGTATGCCATGTAGGAGTGGCATCTTGGGCCATTTAAAGATGGCCGTCGTTATGCGAAGATGTGCATAAATAGAGAAAATATGAGTTCTTTTGAAAGTTAGCCTTTGAAGTGGGTTGAGTTGTTGCACGCTAACATTCTAACAGTTCTTTGTAAATATGTGGGTGTGAACAAACATGTAAAATGCAAATCAAAAAATTAAGTTTTAGCATGAAATATCAAGTGAATTTGAAAGTGGTCATCATATGCTTTTTAATGATATAGAAAAGTACATATGTTACTCTCAGCCAAGCTAATAAATCTTTTTATGTTCACATACCTTAATGATATTGCAATTTTATGATAAGGTAATGTGAACAAATTTCAAGAAGTTGATACCACTAATCTGACGCTATTGGCCACCTGTATGTCGACGTAAAAGATAAGAAAAATATGTTTTCTGGACATGTCAACTACGATGACATTGATAAGCAAAAGTACCCGTCTGCTGTGTCTGATGTTTTACAACCTTTGGTAGCTTCTATCTCTACGAGTGAATAAGTGAATTATAGTCTTATTCCGCTTGGTATTAGCTTTCACGATTTACAATTAGCAAAAGTTCAATGATGCCCATGGTAAGAAGGAGAATAACATGAATGAAACAAATCGGGAAATACTTCGATCAACAGGAGCACAGATAAATATGTCAAAGCGAAAAAAGGATGGATGCCACACCAAATTTTGTCTTGTGTGTTATTTATTTGAGATAAAATTACCAGAACAACGTCATACAGTTAAATGCAACCTTTAAGATATTTTTCACAAACCTAAAAAATCTAAGTCACACCTGATGTTACTACAGGATACAATGACCTTTAACAGCGCGCTAATTACCCATCATGAAGGTTTGGGAAGAGTCGACTTAATATCCACTTAAGGCTATCAGAATCTTAAGGCATGTGATGAAATACCAAGGAGAGGTGGATATGACATAATTTGATTTTTAATGAAGGGTGTACTTCATGAGAGATAGCTTAAAGGTCATTTCAATCTCAATTTATAGTTTTCATAGCCACTATAGCGTTTACAATGATTGTGTCACCATCTTTATGGTTCTCACTGGCCTTATTATTTGAGAGTACTATATTAAGTACAGTAGTAATGACATAAAGAGACTCTTTTCTAAAGTTTGGGGGCATACTAACCTAGACGGATGCGTTCAATAGCTGCATTACTAGTTGGTTATCCTTTGAATAAATGGTTTATCGATCATATTTCGCCTAAAAAATCTGTTGTGATAGCATCATGTGTCATGTATTCATTAATGCCTATTAATGCCTCATCATCAATTGAGTTGTTGTTCTTGCTCACAATACTTTTATCGAACACCTACCTACCAGAATAAATCTACCTTTTGGGATATAAAGACTTGTATGTGCTTTGATCATTAGTTTGATGGATGGGACACGAAGTTGTTATTGTGAAGCTCAAAATAAGATGGTTAATTATTTTATATATTTTATTTATTTATTTATTTTCGTCTCACAGCAGATTTATTTTACAGATACTAATAGTACTAAAATGTCATAATAAAAACACTGCCCCAGCCAGTGCGGCTTATGAGAGACGTTTCATACATGTATATTAGAAGTATTGCACATATAGTTATGTCAAATGACTGTCGATCAATAATTTGTCACATAGGCTAAATCATTGCCCATATAGCATAAGATACAATGTAGTAGTTTCTAAAAAAATAAATAAATACATTAATATTTACTAACTACATAATCTTTGTTTATCACATATTTGTTTGTCTGTGTTTGTACATAAGGAATACAGTTTTAGATACAATAAAAGCCATCTCTGGAGAAGTATTCAGGGTTATAAACTGGTCATTTTTACTTTTGTTTAGGAAGTCAGGGTTGCTGCTTTGAGCTTCTGATATCATAATGCTTCTTAAATCCTCATAGGCCGGACATTCTACAAGGAAATGTTGTTCATTTTCAATTTTATGATCATCACACATTTCACATGTCCTGTCTTCAAGGGGTGTCTTGGGTTTGGTGAATCTCCCAGTTTCTATTTTCAGTGGTAAAACTCCGCATCTTAGTTTGGAGAGTGCACTTCTTTGATATCTAGGGAGGTTGATTTTTGTATAGCTTTCAGGCTTAAACTCACTTTTGATTGTTTTGTAAGTTCTTAGTTTATTATTTGGTCCTATTTTACTCAGTTCTTGTGTCCATTTTTCTGCATCAAACTTTGAGACTTGTTTTTTGAAGGTTAATACAGATTTATTGATCAAAAGGTAATAAGCCCTCCCCTCGTGGGACGCAGACATTTGCAGGGACTTATTGCAAAGTTTATGTTGATGATGCAAAAATGGATTATTCTGCAGGGTGATTTACCATCGCATGTATTGTACACCCTGGAACTCATTTTATCATTAGCATTCGTGTCTCGTTTCCCCTTGGCTTAATACTGAATCAATTATGCTCTGAGGTATTCCGAGAGAGGAAAACACATTCTGTCAATGACTCCTGATGTTCGCCATTTCCTCATTAGTTGTCACCAATTTGAATTTGGGTGCTTTCGAATGACGGCTCTTCCTGATGTTTAGCATAAATAAGTATTTCTTGGCATGCATGGTGCATGTATGCTTTAGAAGCCATTTTGAGCCGGGAATTGAAGAAAATGATATGTGTATTTGTGCCAGTACTCAAGGAGGATTCAAGACATTCCTCCGAAAGGCATCATATTTTGAGACCATAATAATAAAATTAGATAATGAAAAGGCATTGGTTGATGATCTCACGATTATATCGCTTAATCTTAATAAATCCGTTCTAATCCAAATCAAGGACATAGGTTGTGAATGCAAACTCCAGGGAGATGCGTGAAACCCCCTAGTGTCTGGGATAAGTGGATTTATTTTGAAGACACGACAAAATACAATATTCTAGTGTATCGATCGACATGTCACAATAACCTAGATAATAACAATTAACGTGACAGTGAATTTGCAAAACCACAGAAACATCAACTGATAAAAGCTAATCGACGCACTCCCTGGGATTTGCTTCTTTGGGGATGTCATTAACAGTGACGATGGCATTAATGAGAAAGTATACTTACTTGTCACATTCATTCGAATTTATAAGAACTATCACTTTACCGTGATGGGCTTTTGGCTGAACCAATTTTTTAACTTGGGGGAGGGGTGTTCTATGGCTTGTAATATTGTGGATCTATCTGGTATATAGGATAGAACAGTTGTTACAAATAACATATCCAATAGTACACATGTTTTACGAATGAAACTACAACATTATCGCTAGTTTTACATTTTGAAAAAGCGGATATTAATATGAGATCCAGGTCACAATCACCAGACATACCATACATACAATACATACAATACTGAGTCATTCATACATCTGTAACCTTGGTAACCTTGTAGAATATGCATATGAATTCATCTCTTCATATCTGACACGTGGATAGTAGCTTTTTTCATCTTACATTTCTTTTTCAATTCTCAAGCTCATTCAAACGTTCTTGCATTAAACGCTTGCATACTGACACATTTACAGTATATAGTTATGATCCTGAAATCTCATATATACATGTAAGATGGGTGATACTATGTCTGTAATAAGAATTATGTAAAAATGATCAAATGTTTTTATTTGAGAAGCTTTCTTCCAGATGACCCTTGTTAATACTTTAAGATTGATTCAATATTGTTTATATGGTTTATAGATATTTGCCTTTATTTTTATTGACAAGTTAGTGTCACCTTTGCATTTTCACATACTACTCGTATACATTCAGTAGCTCATCATCCACACACACATGAAGCCATTCAGCATTATAGAACTATTCTAAATGAAAAGCTTCCTGGATGGATGTGATCTTTAGGATGCATACTCATACTTACTTGCTCGTGGATCGCCTTGAGGAATTCTAGTTCTTCTTCTAGGGTTTGTCGTCTGTTCTCTGCGTCAATGTGGTTCAGTGTTTCATTGTCTAAATCCTACAACAGAAAACATACATGAACGTCGCATACCATTAAGGATAGGAGTTATATAAAGTATTCATTCACTGTCTAAATTGTACTAAGTACAAAGACAAAACAATGTCACGGAATTATGTAACGATAGATGCATCATTCATTTGATCTGAGGTGAGGATGGTAGTGATTATTTGGTTCAGGATTTCAGTAACTATAACAACAAAAACAACTGAATTATATTTGTAACAATAACATTGTACCATGCTTACAATTCAAGGGCTTTGGAGATTAAAGTTACACAAATTGATGTAAGCTCGAGAGAATCTTAACAATGGCTTAATAATGTAAATGTAGCTAATGAAACAGAGACGCCCTACCCTAAAAACAAAACTATGTTTAAGTAAAGCTTCTAATAAAGCCTTATTGTCTTTTAGAGAGACCGGAGACCAGTTGAGCTGACATTACATATAATCAAGTAATCTAAGGTTTGAGTTTTCCTATTTGATTGAAACTTATTGAATTACTCACACCATAACTCAATTACTTTTTCGATATCACATCATGTCCTTTATAAGTCTTGAAGCTGAGAATGAATCATTTTCATTGTTGCTATAGCTACCAAAAGTTATTATTATTTTCCCAGGCAAATGTCATATTGACATTGTATTAGCTTGGAATTCTATATACTCTTCATCCGCCATATTTGTTATAATTATAATTCAGGTAAATTCATAAACGATCGATTTCCATGTCTGATGATCATCCTTTATATCAATTTCCCATCCGAACAATTCAGGACATTTACAATATAAATGCTTATGTTATTAATTCTATTGTAATACGTGAAAGTGTCGGGCTTATTATAACTCTGGCCATTAGATTAGATTCAGAAGCACTCAAATCATTAAATGATGATATATTACAATATCAGTAGCATAGTCTGATTAATAGTTGGTAAAATAGTTACATAACCAATCCCTTTAGTATTCCGCAGATGTAAAAATATAGCATCTAATTTAATCCAAAGTGAATTTTTGATTGAGATCATCCATTCAATATGGATTCAATTACTCAGTTGTGATTTTGTTATTACATAACGACGTCATAGACAAAATATTCATTACTGATCGAATTAAATGGGATGATAAATAGAATATTGATATAGTTACGGATATTTTGAGATATGATGGACTGTCTTTTCTGGGAAAACATTTCCTTGTAGTAAGAAAGTAACACAATGGCGTACTACTCGATTTTCCCATTTCTTTTCATTTTGAGATGTTTGACAGAATTTTACATATCAATCTCATGCTTGAAATACATCTTAGGCAATTTGGAAGCTGGTTCCTTTGATTCTTAGCCTCGAGTTTGTCTTTGAGTTTGTTTCTCACATGTAGTCTTTTAGGCTTTCTGATTATGCACTTGATTTGTAATTGGGTTTTAGAGACACGAGAGTAGCGCTTCAACGTATAATTATTCAGAAAGGGGAACTAAGGAGCAGCTAGGGAATCAATGAATACAAGTTGGATTTTAGTGAAGAGACACAAAACAAGAATATAAATGCCACATCTTCAACTGTGATTATCGATTATGCGAACAATAGTTAGATACATTCTCTACCGCCAGTGTCGATGTTGAACGCTATTTGAATCAATACATATGTTCATGAGCTGTGTGAGATATCGAAATATCCAGTATAGGTATTTCGTAATTCAATGAATTGATGATATCGAAAGTATTAAACACACTGGCCTGTTTTATTATGGTTTGCAATTATTAAGTGTACAAGAGGTTTCACCTGAAATGACCTTATTAATTTAACGGAAAATGCAAAAATAGTTTCTAGGTGGGGGCAATGTATGTTTTGACCTCGATTGTTTACAAGCTGGTGTAATGAATATGACTTCTTTGTCATTTTTGATATCGACGATTTTATACGCTTGATTAATAGATCTTTACAATAGATGGGGTACCAAGATTGCTCCCTATATTACGCCTCGGGTTTAACAGGCCATTAAAACGAAATAAGATTATGAGAAAAGAAGAAGGCCTAAATTCGTATTTGGAAGGAAAGAAAAAACAAGTTAGCTGGCGCTGTCGTTGATCATGCATCAATATTGATTATTGAAAATTAAATAAATATATATTGAAAACACACAAAGGCAATAGTGTGATCTACAAAGGCACGTATTTCAAAGTCAATAATACGTACAAGCTATTAATCATTGATTTTAACATGACCTGCTAAGGTCGCTTACATATACGTATCAGTTAAACTGGTATAGTATTGATTGTTTTATTAGGATGAATGTTATTACAAAATCAAATCATTCAAAATCAATATCATAGGCCTTTTAATATTCTTTATATGTATGAGTAAAAATGTAAGCGAAAATATTTGGGATTATATTCGTATATCTATTGGCATTCGACAAAACATGTCATGCTGTTAAGCCATGTCTTATCGTTTTAAAATGGTATGATGTCTCGATTACAAATCCATTTATTTGGACACATATAAAAATAAATAGATTTTGTGACTAGAGTCCATTTGTAGCTAAATTGTACGCAATAAATAGAGTAGTATATATGATTGGGTAAATGGGTACTTAACCCATCTCATATGACATAACAGTTCAGATGGATCTATACTTAGAAAACAGCTGCGAATATTTCGCATGTATTTTACAGTTACACCTAATAACCCAAGGCAACAAAAACGTTCATTACACTAATTACGTTTTCCACGTTGTATACAAGTTTGTATTACTTAATAGTTGAATATGGTTTCTCATTAATGTTGGTAGGAATGGCATTTTAAACCATAAAGTCATGAGATACTTTTTCTCTGACAACTTACAGGCATATTGACATAATCACGATGTTTATTAATTATGCATTGTCTGCCAAAACACCTAATAAATCATGTAAGGAACTTTTTAGCTGTCAGATTCACTGTACATTGTGTAGAGATTGGAAAACATTGGAAAACAACAATTCAAATCGACCCATGAATTCATGGGAGAATTATACATTCAATCACGCCATATGACTAATTATGTAATAGGCTACGTTAACAATGGCGATATCAATAGACATTTCATATGTCTGGATATATAATATATGTTAAACAATTATGTATAATGTATTGATATAAAATTAATGGACATTTAGTTATTTGATAGCCTCTGGTATTTTACAAAACTTCATTCTGAAGCAATTTAAAAATCATATATTTCAGGTTTTTATCAACTCGCATGAGTAACTGAAACAACGAGGGAATTTAAGGTTAAACTAAACCATTTGACCCAGGCAGTTTTGCACGACCTACCACTTCGACTGATTAATGATCGCTCTTCATCTTTCAGTTAAGGTAACTCCAGCAGAACAGTGTGACCATACTGGTCGACGTTCTCTGATAGGGCATGATTGAACACAGCCCCATACACCACAACTCCCTGTCAAACTTAAAGTAGTTGAACTTATCAAGGACTCGTAGGGGTCTGGTTTTCGCTAAAAGTTTATTTGAGAGTATGGCTGTCACATGATATGACAATTGGGCAGGAGTTCAAATGACTGATCGTTGGCTCAAAACTGACCAAGACTGAGGCCATGAAATATATTTTGGCTGAATATATAGGACATTGAAACACATTCCTCAAATTTTTGTTTTTCCCAAATATAGTTACAAATTGCAAAATACATATATAGGTATACATACAATTCTTGCTTTGTTGAGGGCATCTGTCAAGCGTTTGATCTCCTTCTTGTCTCTCGCCTTATCATCTTCAAGTGAGCCGACTCTACGACGGAGCAGACCGAGCTCAGCTTCATAGTCAGACAACTGCTGGTTCTGTCGATCAATGGTCTCCTTGTCACTTTCGTGTAGTTGGAGAGCCTCGGCATATCTAAAATGAATTAAAAAGATCGTTGGATTAGTTTTGGGAGTTTCATCCTTCATTTGAGACTTGCTTCACTAAACTACACCACCCAAAATAAGTTCAAATGATATTTATGGAAAGATGCACAGGTGTTTTAGCATTATGTACAAACAGTTGATGTGAATCATCATCTTTATACGGATTACTAACTGACATTATACGGATAACTAACAATGCAGAGATGAATAATTGCATAGTACTTGGATGTTTTTTGTATACTATGGATTTGTTCAATTGCCACGGCTTGGCCTCGATTAATTTTTCTTTTAAAATTGTTCTGGCCCATGTCAAATGATAAACATGTTTTTGCTTTTTCCGATGCCTGACTTTGGAACGTTACCATATTTATACACTTAAATATTTCGGGGATGCTGAGTGAACTTTTGGCATCGAAATAATCTCAGGCTGTCGTGATAAGACATAAAACAATAATGTTAAAAATATTGAAAGTCAGGACAGACTGTCATACACACATTTAAATGATATTTGTAGTTTCCGTACTTGTAGGTTTAACAGGTTAACCGTTTTAATAATGTATATGTCTTTCAAATAAGAAAGGATGGACTGTGGGTGCACTTACTTGCAATTGGGAATTCGAATAAATCCAATGGCCGTGCAAAACAATGCTGGCCGATTCAAACCGTGTTACATGAATGGCATGTATAGTTTATAAGTGGTATACATCGTACAGTGTCATTTCACGCTTTGGCAGAAAACCGGTTGTTTTTTGGAAATTGTAATGTACAAGTCACCTTAAATACCCCATATTCTGTTTTATGTACAATTTGGTTTTATTGACTGTGCATCAGAATATGGGGTGAACGAAACCTGGCTCTATAAACGATAAATAAATGTTGTGTTTACTTTAATTTCGAAATCGTTGTATTTGAATCAACATGTCTGCTTTGAAGTGTAAAACATCCAAGAAAGAAGTACATTGTTCGGGTAAGTAGGGTATCAGACAAGTATTTCATACATAAATGATGACGACAATCAAACTCGCTGTAGCGAAATAAATGTATCATATATGGTGCGCTCACCTTGGAGTGCCACAACTGAAGTGCTATAGTTCTGAGGTAGTAGTGAAAGTGTCACGTCTGGAGGAAATTTATGATATGAATAATTGTCAAATATTTTAGTGGGTGGTGTGAGGAGTGTTGGATGTTTGCCATATCGTCTCAGCAACGTCGTGTTCGAGGTCTTTTTAATCGCAACTTCCACTCGATGTGCTTTATAATTACTTCATACAAGTGTACTCGGCATTTTCATGAATGGATACAATAAAATTGTTGTCTGGAGCTAATCGCACGTATATTAATGACATCTACATGTTATGAAAGAATAATCATCGATGTAGACTATTGTAAATCGACTTCCCATGCCTTACCCAAACCTTTAGGTCACACGAGGTCATCAAATCAGCCATGTATGGCTAAATCGATATATGCGCCATTTTGCTCATAATCTGGCACTTAATGACCAAGGGTATCTATGTTTTTTTCAAATGTTACCATTTCTGTGCCTGGTGTAATTATAAAAGCACGAGGTGGTGAAAATGAAAATTAATGCAGAGTTTCAACTTTCACCTGTGACGTAGAGAGATGTACAACATGTTACATTCATCGCACCATATTTGGCAATATTCAGTAACATTCTCGAGAACCTTCCAAGTGAATATGTTTGCCCGAGGATTACCTCTCTATTTGAAGAGGTACAGTCGTGGTATTTAAAATCTTAAAAAGGTGAAACGAGGAGACAGTCACGTGTTTAAAGTGTAAAGGCACTGTCTTAAAGAAATGGCTTTCATATATCAAAAGATTTGGTCATTCATGAACAACAATTATGAATAAAATTGACATTTTAAATGGATAACAACCTTTAAGTAGCAGTTAATATACACTAAGGTTGTAATATTTTTTATCAGTAGGTAAAAATATATGAATTGAATTATTCATGATATAAATTGCACTTTTTTATTATCGCCACTAGACCTTTGACCAACTTTGAGTCCGAATCGTAACTCCCTCCTAATTAAACATGATTTTATTTTCTGAATGCCCCGAAACAAACAAACCTTTTTAACAAGGTTTCGGATGTATGTTAATTACATTTGCTGATGTGAGTGATGTGGCTCAATAAATTGTACCAATATTTAAATTCAAAGAAGAGAGGACAGATATTCTAAAACTTGAAAACTTGTAGAAAATTACGATAGAGGTTCTTCGTAACAGGGCGGAATAGCCTCTTAATTACAAAAAAAACATTTTTGAGAATGAGTTGTTTACTAAACGAAAAATCTAATGTATTATCTTTACATGTTGTATTATATCATACCACACGCACGGTAACGTAGCAAAGGCTTATCACCTGAGTTTTGTGTTTTCAAAACAAAATGTGCAATGCCGATTGTGGCCTATTTGACACCTCAACGATGTGTTAACACATTTTGAGATAAAACAACTGTTGTGTCTATGCCTGAGAGATGACTAGACTAGAGATCAAATTGCAGACGTATCGTTATTTTTGTCTTCAATGTTTATAGAAAAACTGTATTTTACGATGCACTTGTTTCTTATGATTCTAAATCGGGCTTGCTATTATCAGTCCGTTACTCTGAAGTTTTACACCTTTGGGTATAGCGTTCTCTTGCATCTACTAGAATTAATTTATATGGGTCAAAACGTTGATTAAGTTAAGGGGCTGTTGAGTCAACGGAAGAGGACACGATTGTATTCGAACAAGTAGCCTAGTTAACCCCCTACATTCACCCAACGTACCTTGAAGTCGATCTTTGAACATATAAATCAAAATTTCAAGTGGGGCAATCCATACACTATCACATTTTTGCATTGATTAAACTATACGCGTTCATGCAATAATTCAATTTTGAGTTCTCTGCAATAATGATGAGTTTATGCCATAAACTACAAATAAACATTTCAGGACAGCAATCGTGTACTAAGTTACTACAAATTAGTTTCTTATGATAATTCGTAATACTGCGCACACTGCTGCGACTAAGTGGAAGTAGTTTTGCATCACTTGTTTCGCACATACAGTCACGCTAAGTGAAGTTAATTGAGCGCAAAATTCGAATCGAAATCACGTGTTAACGAGATGTTGTTTTCATCAACAATAAAAGAGAGCAGTAACAGCCGGAAATTTTCAATAAATATATAACGGGTCAGAACTCAAAAAATAATAGATCATTAATATTTCATAAGTGATGTTTTACATTAAATGGAGAAATATGGTATTCATCGTAATTATGAGGAAGCTGTTCATAAATATTAGGTATGTGGATGGTGAGCCAGGTCTAGACGGTTACAGGTGGTATCAAACAAACATGTGCCATCCTCCGAGTTTAATTAGGAATTAATTGTGAAAGCCAGCAGTAATTAGAATGACACAAGTCGTTAGTTTGATTTACTCCTAGTTTCAAAAATAATTCAGGAAATTACAAAGTCATGCATCATCATCATCACTTGTTCGGTCAATACCGTACAGTGTTTTACCACAATGGCTGGGTCTATGATTAAACAGACTTGCAACGATTTGACCCCCTCATTTTCCCGACCAATAGCCAAAGAAATATCAAGACTTGCTGGATTTGCCCCCTCCGGCTTCTTCTCTCAACCTCCATTCTCCCTCTTTCAATGAATCGTTCGTGTAACTTAGGAAATGTTTTCAAGCAAGACTGTTTCGAAGAAAATATTTTGAAAGTGATCGAAGTAATGCATAAAGTCGTTGTCATATTGATAACTGGTGAACCGAAACGAATCTTGATATAATTTACAGATTACTATTCGTAATCATGAATCAATTTTTCAAGAATAATTGGAGATGAAATGATGATGAAATGACATTATGATAAGACTTATAATGAAAGATGTCCAAGCTGAGTATCTCGGCAACTGTACTTATCCTATATGGGTTCCAGTTGATTGAGCAGACAGTCGTGATAAATTGCTTTATGTCAGCTCAAAAAACAATCTCACCAAAAGACTAATGATAAAAAGAGCCAGATATTGATTTTCTGAAGCAGCGAGTCTTCCTCAGAGAAATCTAGGTAAGAAATATGCATAAGTAAAGTGAAGGAGATTGTTTTCATGCATAGTTATCTTATTGTCAAATACTCATCGAAACGCTCATTTCGTTACATTTTCCCCCTCCAACAAGAGAAGTTTGTCTCTTGCCTTATGACATAAAATTGTCTGGCATGGTAGGAAGCAATCGTTTTGTATATACGTGTTCTGAATCAATGTTATACATATAGTTGGGTGATGTGTTTTGAAAATATGATATTGTGGTAAATTATAGCTAGATTCTTCATTTGTTTTAGTCATTTTAAAGAACAAAATGATAAAAACTGTGATACTGGACACCGGTTCAATCAGACTAATTTTTGTCTCTAAAGATCAGTAACTGGAAATTAAACATTTCTTTCTCTTTATGTGTCTGTGTCAATTGACTGTTACTGGTTATTTATTTGCTTGTTTGTTAGCTTACTTGATTATTTGTTTGTTCATTTATTTTTTTGTTTTATTTGTTAATATTTTGTTTATCGTGTTTTTGTTAAAGGTGCATATTTTCTGTCGGTTTGCTATGTATGAAAGGTGTATAGCTACTCTGTAGGTCATTCAGAACAACTACCTGCTTTACTGTCGACAGTCGTGCCATCAATCATCACTTTATACATTCATGTTAACAGTAAATACAGAGATGTACATACATGAAGGTCAGCTTCATTATCTCTTTATGAATACAGACTTTCTATCATTGTTTGGAGATTTTTTGTTCATGTACGAAGCGATAAACATTACTAGTGTAAGTTTTAGTTTCTATTCAAAACTGACAAAGATATGACATCCTATTGTTTCAGACATGACATCCTATTGTTTCCGATATGACGTTCTATAACTTCAGACAGTTAATTGCGATGAAGGAAATCCCCGGGGCTATTTCTGGTTGTTTGCATTAATACAAGTATATGACCTCATTTACATAGTAAGCAATTTACATAGTAAGCAATACATGCCATAAGTAGCGTCCCGTACATTTGTTAACCTCAGTATACAATGTGTAAGGAACATTGAATGGATTGAGCTTAACTGTTCAATATTTTGTATCAATTATTGTTAATTTCTACAATATGACCCTATGATTAATTGCATGTAAAAGGTGAATGAATCTAACCCTGATTTATTCAAATAACATTTTTCATTCTCGATTGTATTTGATAAAACACTAGCTGAATAATATTTGAATTTTGTCAATGGAACTTCAATAAGAACATTTAAAGTTTTATGCGTTTCGAAGTAATGGTATCGTCATATTCAAATCAGCAGGTCGTATTTTAACTTTCAAAATCTTAACACACATGAAACTTGATGTCTTTAATACAAAAGCTATTAGATTTAATGATACTGTTCTGCGTGACACCGTTTTATTCACAAACAACCCAGTCTTTAACCTTGGACAGTGTGGTACACCACATCATCAAAATTATAGCCATTTTGTTTATCTCCTTATATGGTATTAGGCAACGCTTTCTATTCAGGATGGTTTTAACATTTGTTGTGTTTTCACTGTCATCATGACCTGTTTCTTTGACGTATACGATTCAGACTGTGTATTCACTATTAAGAGTTTTTTGGGTTAAATAGCTAGCGTACCGGTTAAATATAGACTTTTTAACCACATGGAATATAGCACATGAAAAATCAATGCGCGTTTATATATTATATGTGCATTTTTGGCACCTCGGCCTCTCCAAGATTTGGCAAGCATTGGGATATGTAAAACAATTTTGGGATTAGGCATCGGTTGCCAGAACAACCTGTTGGACAAAAATGATCGTCATGTCATGTCAACCACATGTGTCTAAGAAATTGGTGGAATGGCTGGTACACGGGCCAACTAAAAGAAACATAATATTGCAAGTGATCGTACTGTTTCATATCAGCATACGCCTACACTCGGCGTACATATCCCGAATTCGAATCTGCTAAATGCAAGTTACATTTATATTGCATGATGTCAGATTTATGCCCCATTTATTCAAGGATTCAAGAAATGCTTCAAGTTGAGACATCACTAATTTCCACGTGTTTTCGTTTGTGTGTTGGTATTTTGAAGTATTTATATATATCGGATTTATAGGAGCAACTATCTATTCCACTGAGCAAATAAATAATTAATTCACTATGTGTATTAAGCAAATAGCCTTTTATTGTGCTTGAATATCTCTGAATGTTTTGAAAGATATTGGTCAGTTAAGTTAAATATGTATTGTTTTGTTTGTTTGTTTGTTTGTTTGTTTGTTTGATTGTTTGTTTGTTTGTGATGTCCACTGTCTCCCGAAGGAGAAGCTTTTCAACTTGGCTTATCTCCATCTAAAACCCTTTCGGATTTACAAAGACAAGTGATGCATAAAAACTACCCTCAAAGTAAAATTACTCGATACAGATTATTACTAAATACTTGAGCCTGCACTATTTTACCATTTCTTTACTACAAGTTGCATGAATATCGATCCAGAAGCATAAATCTCATTATCATCATCAACATGACCTAATTACATTGATTACATTGATTGCAAGGGTTTAATTATTATTACCATGTCGTACAGGTTATAAGGTTAAGGAGATACAGGTTGTGCTCCTTCTCCATCATGTTTAGCAAGTTAAAAGTCAGAATGTAACTTTTCAGAAAAAGATGTATCACATCAACTGTTTACACAAAATAGGTCACTTATGATAAGTATAGTAAGCCCCAGGGGGCAATGCTACGTTTCATAATGTAATTAAGGCCTGTAGATTAATTTATAAAATCCAACATGTTGGCAGACAATTAACAAAGTGTTCTTTTTTAATTAGAGAAGTAATTAGCCCAAAACGATACTAGTTTAAATAGAGGCCTTATTGATCGAACTGAATTTGTTAACGATTTAATCACATTCCTGAGGTCATTAACTCGGACCTGCAAAGTATGTCGTTTTTATCCTGTGCTATATCGGTTCTGATCCCTGCCTTGGGACTTAGGAAGATGATTAAGGTTTAATATACACATCGCAATCATCGCATACTTACTGATCTATTCAATAATCACATATTATATATTTTGAATATATAAACGTGTGTCATCAACGGAGCGAGACCGAGATTCGCCTTGGAAATGTACTGCATTGATAAATAACTGCGAATATCGATCGAGAAGACAAAACATATTTTTGAATAAGAAATGTCCTTATCTAAAGAAGGTCAAATAAGTTGTAGTGCAAACGTGTGCATTGTTGTTTTTAATGATAATAACCTCCAAAAGAAAGGTTACGATATTTAGTTCACATTCAACTGTCTGTCAATTGCAATTTTACATTCAAGCATCTATTTCTGCAAAAACTATATGTTTTTTGTTTTTTTTTACCCCTTGTGCGTCCCACCTTGAAAGATAGGTTTTTAAGCATTTAAATGAAAAGATATATGCATTATTATTATTATTATTAATTTATTAACCTGTAGTTAAACAGAGTAGTTTTATGATTTACAACACATATACATGTACATAATAAAGTCAAAACTATTTACAGAAAGTGTTTTTTGGTCACCTTTTTACATCTGGTTACCAGTGTACGCTCGCATTAAACGAGCTCTTTTTATACTCATTTGGAGAACAATTTCACCTATTTGGATCATGTCATTTTCAGTTATATGTTCGTGATAGCCGAATACAACGCTCTTTAAATCACAAGGGTTACCGTATTTATTTATAATAGAAGTCAGTCTGGCATGTTCATCAAAGTAAGCCTCACAGGAGCTAAGGAAATGTTCAATCGTTTCTACCTCAAACGTATTACACAAAACGCAAATACAATTTAGCCCAGAGTTTTTTACGCGCAGCTCATGGCAGTCTGTAGAGAGGCGCATCATAATTTTACATAATTGTGATTTTAATCTATAGATAACAAAAATTATACTTACTTTTGTCTGAGTTCTTCGATACTTTGTTCAAGGGTTGAAACTTTAATTTGGAGCGCGGCTTTTTCTTTTTCTGAATTGTCCAAAAGTTTGCGGGCTTCGTCAAGCTCCTTCTGGTACATAGCCTTAATATCCGCTGTTGCTTTGCCCCATTTCGTTTTTAGCTGTTCCAATTCGCTTGCTAGTTTTCGGTTCTGGGCTTCTAAGAAACGAACTTTTTCAATATAACCGGCAAGACGTTCATTCAAATCTTGCATGTCCTTTTTCTCCTGGGCCCTGTTTCCCTTCACTTGGTTGACACCGACCCCAACGACGCTGGAGTAGGCTCCTGCGGGTGCAGCGCCATAGTTGTAGCCATAGCTGACGCTACGCTCCATGTTGTACCCACTTCCACCTCTGGGGGCACTACCATAAGCTGATCGGGTGATTACGGTGGTGCGGGGACTCATGCTGGACTTGTAAAGGCTGCTCAAGTCATCACCTTCATAGCCGCCGCTTGAACTATATGTGGTGGTTTTTCTAGTTGTTGTTGTCTCGACTGGTCCCTCAGAGACGAGCGTTCTCTTGGTCCTTGTTACTTCAGTCATCTTTGCAATATGTCTTCGAAACTACCCAGAACTTTTAACAAACCTGTTATCAACTCAAATGCCGCACGCTGAACAAGCCGGTATGCGCTGTAGCCAGGTATTTAAGCTGAATAATATCGGTAAGTGAGGGCTGCAGGTGATTGGAGTATTTGTGCCACGTGATACCGGCGCTACTTCATCATTCATGAGCCGGCGTGAATATCCACAAATATGTCTCGTTTACTTATGAACGTCACACAGGCTTGCCATTATGCTACATGTTTTTTAAACAGATGACCTATGCCCTCAGGATTGAAAACTTAAATAACAAGTCGGTTTACCACTAGCGTGGGATGTTATCGCACTATAGAAAGTCTAAAATATGTGTCTTCGTGCTACATACATGGATTTGAACGGTCAATAGACTTACTCTAAATATGCAGATTTTAGGCATCCCAGATTCGATTTTTTCGAGATTAGTAATTGAAAATGGGTGACATGTCAAATCCATGTTGTAGCTCAACCTTAGGTAATTAGTGAAGCAGAGTAGATGCAATAAATCGTTACTCAACGTAGCAATATAGATATATTGCCATCTTTCTTACACAGTAACATTGCTATGCTGAATTTCATCTCATAAGGCTATTGAGCAACTCTTTTAAAACACATACAAAATACACCAACATAGACGCGTTAAAGAAAAATGTTAATTCATAAGTAGGTCAATCATGCGAGGTTGGTAAGTTGACTTGTGGTACCTAATGCATAAGATCACTTATTATATGGTTAATGTAAGTTCATAGACTTTTAATGACGTGCTTTATCGATTATTTTCAACTTATTTTTAAAATGTCTAATAATACAATTCAAGTGCGACACATGGACAATTGTATACGTTGTTAATTTGATACACCTACTATACACTCACACACATGTATTATTCAAATGCAATATTATAAGTTTGAATAAACATCCTATATGGTATTTACTCATAAAGAAGTTGTAATTCGCTGTTGTAGACGTTATTGTTCTGTCTGGACTACGTCTACCTGTATCACATAAAAATAATAATATTTAACTTGTAAGAAACGTCCTTTATTCAATGAACGACTTCTTTTAAGCTTTCTTTAACATGTGAATCTTTTACTTGAGTGTTTGCCTACATTCTCATAGTAGAAGGTCTTTACTTCACATTTATCGGACGGACGTTTATAGTTTGATAGCCTACATGTTTTCACTATTATTTACGATGTTTAATCAACTCAAAGTTCAATTTCTAATTTATGTTAAGTTTTTATTGTAACAGTAATTGATAAAGTGTACAGTAGTAAAACACATTGCACCTCAGATATGCATTATTTAACTATTAATGAGATAAGGAGAAATAGTTAAGCGTCTCAATCTCCCTGCCAAATTTATACCATACACCCCCTCCAAAAATTTGGCAATCCTGACATCCCATTGTTCAGCGTATTAAAGCTTATTCATGTTTGTATTTCATTTGTTTGATTCCATCCTCAACTACCTACATGTACAAAAGGCTTGATTTATAAAACTATATGAATGTTTTAAATGTAAAGTTGCGAAACGTGCAGTCTTTTACTCTGTGTATCAGAGCCGAGTTCATAACCAGATGAAGCCCTCTCTTAAACAAAATCAAACTTTTTGGGGCATAACAGCTTTAACATGTGATTTAATAGGACAATTGTTGGTGTTGCTAAACTTTTGATGTGAAGTGTAGTATGTGTATGTAGAGGGTAACACAACAACGTGATGCAAGCGGAAAAGTGTAGCTTAAAGTTTAAAAAAGTTTGAATTCAAAACAGTCTGGGAATATAATGATTCATTGTGGTTGGCGGTTCACAACTTTTACTGATGTACAAAAAATAGTATATGCGCATAGTTTAACATTACATGCCCTTATAAGCGAGTTCATTCTAATATTTTACAACCATGTGTCTGGTTATTACTAGCCTTTGGTTAATTCAGAAAACTAAATTTCCAAAACACATTAATAATCAAGTCATTTTAATTAATTTGTTTTTAAACTAGACGACACAATCCGGCACCAATCCTTGATTTAATTAACTACGACTCCTGGTTTAAGTATGTCCGTGGAAATCCGTAAAAAGCCACAGTACAACATATAAACAAGAGTTTAAGCTATATCCAACTGGTTCGTGTAAAAACAGTGCACAGACATCATTAGACTACATATTATGTTAATGGTATGATATCAATATACAGTGCAATGTCACGCTAAACTTTAAATACTTCTATGATGAAAACTACAAGTAGGAAAACAACAGTAATTGTACTTATTGCAATCTTTTGTATATGATTCACCTTCAGGTTTTACATTAATTTTTAAAGTTCTGAGGATTGAATCCTGTCAATTTTCGTGTTAGCTTATAGTCAAATGAATTAACAAAATCCGACCAAACGTTGCGACCTTAGAAGTGGTTGCTTGCCTGTACCAGTTGGTTAGTCTTGCAACGACCCCCTGTTCCCTTCATCTATTTCCCCAACCGATACCACTGTCATACTTCAGTTATACAGTAGAATGTGGAGACAGGAAACAAAACATATTGTAAATGGTGTTACCCTATTTGCTTTCGTGTCCCTTTTAACTTAGATCGACCTTTCATGACCTTGATTTTGTTTATAAGTTATAAAACTTAAACACGTCAGTAATAGGTCAATTATAGGTAGGACTACGTTATGTCAGTGCATGTAGGTCATCGATTGTCTTAACTCGGCTTTTTTGGTCTCAAATCGATTTCTAATTTTGGCTTTGATCGACCCCAAAGAAAGTGCATTATTATTAAGCATGAATTACTTTTTAAAATAGAATTGACATTTAAACCTATAAATGCCATTTAAAATGATTACTTATAAGAAGCAATTAGTTTATTGGCCATTTTTACGATAACCAGCAGGAGAACTCTATTTTTTGCCAATTCGGTTAATAAAATTGTATCATCCACAGGGTTGCCAATGAAGCGCTATTCATGTGTAAATTGCCTACAGTTATCTCATCGAACTTTTTGTATAAATTGCATCTCAGGTGGTATCAAAAATGATATTAACATTAGTATTCTCAATGTATTTCTTGTGTTACTTGAGAAGAGTTAAACTTCTTCAACATGTGTAGTAAAACTTGAATGACATGTATGAATCATCCGTCTCGACCTTAAACATGGTACACATGAAAGCATTATGTCAATTTGCATTTCAATTTATGCAAATATATAATGCATGTTTTAAAAAATGTGTCGTCTAGGTTATGTTAATATGTGAATAAGTAGTTGCAGCTTCTCAGGGTTAAAAATATCGTACGACTTCTCTAATTTGGTGACAGCTCGGGGCTAAGACAACGTACATGTACATCAATGATCGTCGTTAATGAGGTCGTTCATTAAGTTTGAGCAATGTTTATGTATATCACGTAAGGATACTTGTAACCAGAAATACTTAAGGATTTAAGCCCTGGACTCAGTGCAGTGTGGAATTATCATTCCTTGAAGGTGTTGCTTTCCAAAACTTTAGTGTGGTCATCCACAATGCATTGGGTCTTTGGCTTAAATTCTTTTCACACATTGCAAAATGTTCTCTTCCGTGTCACTAAAAGATACGAAATCACTAAAATAGCAGATTTTCGATGAAACTTTTTGCAAGGGTCAACTTGTCAAAGGATGAATTTTAATATGTAGAGTTAAGTTGTCAGCTTGACAACCAAATAAGCAGTGACCTTGAATGCTGTGATTGGTGATACAATGCACTGTAGTTATATGAAATACTGTGTTCGGATTGGCTGGAATCTGACACACCTTGTCTAGCTATGTGCGAAAATTGTTTTATGCATGAACATCAGGTCACCTTATACTGCGCTATAGAGCTGGGTAAGGGGGGTAATACTGACTGACGGAAAACACAATCGCCACTTCGAGTACATTTCCCTGTTTATTCTGTTCGCATTAACCCTTATTTACATATCATATATTTCAATTAATCAATTATGCAGCTAATGATGTGAACGGATTGCAATGCCATAGAATAAAATAACCGCAAAACGGTACAGAAAAAGGTTCCTAGGTCTGAGAAATCCTACTCCTCTGTACACCATTGTCTAATGAAGACCAAACAAAACCCCAGATGTCGTGCCGTTTCTCGTTTCGTTTGGTACACAACTAAACCCCGGGTATTAAATAAGCCCTTGTATGGGGTTGTCCCATGTCCATAAACAATGGCCAACTCTCGTTTTGATATACATATTACTTTATGCAGCGTGACCCCCTCACTCACTTCGCCATGTACGGGGAAACGTAGACATGTTACGTTGAAACAGTCATCTCATAACTATTCCGGATTTTAGAAATGTGATATTTTCCTCAGTGGTTTGCTATTTTTGCACATGAAAAGACAATTTGATATTAAGCCAAATGTAAACAGAAACGGCCAATACAGTACATACGTTTGTAAACAAGATTGAACGACGTCTGCCAAACTTATTGTTGCCATGAGAACATGTTGACGTGTCATATCAACTAGTTTTATCTTGCCACACTTATCTGGTTCAGCTCTGAGCTCCAGAATAAGTTATGAAATTATATATTTCATCTATGATCGAGCTCCTAATTAATGTCGAGTCTCTTTTTAATAATGTTTAAAGGTGAACTATTGGAATAACACACATGGGTTGTTCCTGATTTACTACACGTCGCTCGGACGACGACACTTGATAAAATATACAGGGCGACACAAAAAATGCCATTCACATTATGTTGCATAACTTTTTTGTCTAGGTATGAATTTTGACCCTTTCTCTGGCACATTAGAACTATACCTCATGGAGCAACTTCAGATGACTAAATGTACCTTAAATGAGCGTTACAAGATATGCTGTAAATGTCGTCCATTTCTTTGCAGGCACACTTCTGGATTCTAGGAGTAACGTTATTGACCACATTCACCTAACTAAAACCCTCCAGATTATTTTTATCTCTTGGGGTACTTGCAGGATCATGTGTATGAGTGCAAACTCCCAAACCATAGAAGACCTGAAGAAAGAGATCACCAGAAAGATCGGGGCCATTTATTTGGGGAAAAGGGTCATCAATTACTTTGTCCATAGAATCCAGGTGTGCCTAGCATTTAGAGCACATCTTGTAATGCTCACAAAAGTACATCTAGTTTA